GGTGGTGGGCATGGCGTCGTCAGATGTGATGAGTGTGGTTGAAATGAGGTGAGCCAGCTTGGTTTGTGATAGACCAGCAACCGCTTCGTTGATCGCCGCATGTTTGGTGCCACTTCCAGATGGAGGTACCTCGGAGATTGTACCAGATTCGACGTCAGATGATACGGCCAGCTTGCGGAACATGGTCGCAAGAACGTTGATGGCTGGGTCGGTTGATACGAGCGGCAAGGTAGCTTCAGACGAAGTTTCCTTGCTAGGAGCAAGCATGTCAGGAGTAACGACATCGGGGTTGAATGGCCACACACCAGTCTTGCGAAATGCTGCCTTGACGTTGTCCTCGGTGAGTGCTCGCACGTGTGCCCTGCTGTAGATCTCGAGAAAATTCTTCTTATCCATCGCAATCCCATACTTTCGTAGCCATCCGTCCCGTTCCTCACCAATGCAGCGCTTCAAGACCGCAAATATCACGACGTCAAGCCCCTGATAGATGTGGGTGGTGTGAGAAGGATAGCAAATGACGAGGATAAGGTGTTCACGTGCATAAAGCAGGAAGGCGACAGTATAGTGAGAATTGTGGCCATCGACCAAGAGAAGGCGATACTCTCCTTGCTTGACTTTGTCCTTTGTTGCCTTATCGAAGATCTTGATCCACTCTGCACCGATCTCTCCGTCCGTCCAGCCCTTCTTCTGGTAGCCAAGCCTGCAATTAAATATCATGATTAGATCCAGAAAAGGTGAGTCGTGACAAAATGAGAGGAGAACTTACGTCGCATTTAGAGGGTTATTGTCACCCCATCCAACTTGGAGGGCCTCACCCTTGAAAATAACGGTAGGAGGAATAGCTGTGCCGTCAGCACAGATGGTGTTTTCGCGAGTCCCACCACGTTGCTGATATTGTGGCCCCTTTCCATGGGCTGGAGCAATGACGCGCTCGCTTTCCTCGCCGCGGTTCTGTATGCCGATCTCATCAGTTCCAAAGGTGGTCTCAGGCCGGATGTTGTATTTCTTGATCGTCTCGTTGAGTAGGGCCCAGTACTGCTTGTTGGCTGTCGGATTGGCACCACGGCCTCGCTTGTCCTCAAGAGGGTGAGAGTCTTTCATCTTGAGACGGTCGGAGTGTCGCTGCACAAAGCGTGTGGTCCAGTTTTGACCCACACCCTCGACTGGGAAGTTCTTGCGTTTGCGGGCATGGCAAATCATATCGACATGCTCCTTGAGTGGCCATCCACGTGCAGCCATGTCCAGGATAAATTCGACGACAACATCTTCTTCACCCTTCGAGAGCCATGAACGGGTGGCATTGGCCTGGACTCGAGTTAGCCCACCATCAGCCAGTCGACTAAGGGTCATATGACTGAGACGGATTCGATCTCCGGTCTCCTCGAAGTAAAGCTGTTCGAAATCTTTGCAGATAGTGCGCAGCCCTCGACGGGCACGATGGTCTGGCTTCTCGAGCTCAGCACGGTAGGCCTCGACTGCACGTGACATCAACGCTTCATGAGCACGCTTTGCCTCCTGTTGCCGCTGGGCTAGCGACTTGGGACGGCCAACCATAGTAAGAAGTAGGACAAGCAGTTGAGTGGGGAATACGATGTTATTGTGGTGGAATTCAATTTTTTTTGGCTTAAAAGCGCTGGACATGCTTTGTGCATGTTGAACAACCATATATCATGTAGTTCTCGCAGTAAGACAGTGC